CTCTGTGATTTTGGGCTGCAAGGCGCTTTGGAGATCCAATTGCTCCGTACACCCATAATGTTGTCACCCTCTGGTACCGCGCTCCCGAGCTACTCCTTGGATCCACCGAATATTCCACGGAGCTTGACATGTGGGCGGTTGGTTGCGTTCTGGCTGAAATTCTCCTTAAGAGGCCTCTTTTCACCGGATCGTCGGAGATCGAGCAACTCTCGGAGGTGTTTAAAGTCCTTGGTGTGGCCACGGAAGAAAGGTGGCCTGGCTACTCGAACTTACCTTTCGTCAGCAGTTTTTCATGGAAAACCCAGGAGCGTAACAGGCTACGGGACAAGTTTCCAGGAGTTGGCTTTGGCGTTACCACAACGACACCCCTCACTAACATGGGCTATGATCTTCTAAACGGACTTTTCGCGCTTGACCCCAAACAGCGCATTTCCGCCAACAGGGCCGCAGAGCACGCTTATTTCGCGGAAAGTCCCGCGCCCACATCACGGCAGCGAATGCCAAAGTTCCCTTCGCGCGATTAGTAGACTAGGATGCTAAAAACATGGGCAGGACCTGGCCTGTACCACAGGCCGCGCAGCGACCGCGCAGCAATGGTCTGGCAATGGTCTGGGTTTCTGATCGCCATGAACGGCTGCTCCAGCTATTTTGATGATGACACCTGCCCAGTCAGCACCTGCAAAGCATGTGGGTTGACTGTCTTCAGACGCTTCATATATCAATCCCGATGTGGGGGTCGCTAAGCTGTCCGAGCATTGCTCTGATGTGCTTCCAGTATATCTTTCTCGGTTTTATTAGATACTGCACATGATGCTATTTGCATGACTGGGCTGCGAGCCGTTTCATCGAGTACACGCACAAAAGAACTATATAGGAGGCTGCTTCATCTTTTTATCTGTAAGGCCAGCCCTTTTCCACGCCAGCTTTATCTGTTGCTCTTCAGGTCCTCTTGGGGCTAGACCGGGGCACCGCCGCAAAGTGGATAGCGAGCGCAGGCTGCCGATCATCTAAGGCGGGGGGTAAACGATCCCTTCTTCAGAAGGCGGAAATGATCTCGCCGTGTGGCCGCAACAAGCGACGCCTCGTTTAGCATAGCGCTTGCGACGTGGTACGCAGGTAAAAACACATGCCGGGGCAGCAAGAAAGCAACAGTGTTGGAGTCGAGACCCGCAGAAAGCAAGGCGGCCGCGATGGACCCGCTACAATCTTGCATGGGAATACTCGAGAGAAAGTTTCTGGTCTTTTTGACTGAAGAGGAGAGCAAATCTGCGAAATCGTCGGCCATGGCATCGACATAGTTCACACCCTCGTAAAGGAAAGGTAGGTGATTCCAGAGGCCCTGGCGCCATTTGCTGACCGCGTCAAGCACATTCTCAGTGGCCACGGCGAGCGATCGTAAAATTGGCAATGCTGTGTCAGAAGTTGTCTTGTGAACAGGCTGATGCAGAGCGAGGAGGGCTAGATTGCGGTGTTTAATTGCGTCCACGACGTTCCGAGTACAGCGGCGGTGGCTGAGAAGACATTCAACGTGC